AAAAAGCAGAATGCTTTGGCAGACAGGCTGACCTGAAGAAAGCTTTGGGGGTGTCTTTGGGTTAAAGAGAAAACAATTGTAATATCACGCCAAGATGACTAAGTATACTTCTTTGAGACAACACCCACACGTGACCAACGGTCGTTTCATCAGTACTGGGTTTTTTGGGGGAGGGGGTTGAACTGTTCTATTAAAATCCATGAGAATCTCATGTCCTTATAGTGACATCATTTGGAACACGTTAGTTCACCAAGCAAGATAGGCATGACTGTTAACCGTGTTGATCTCAGCAGGGGGCTAGAAACTTACAGCCCCTTACACCCTTGGACACTTCCATCTGCTGTGATCATTTGGGGGAGGGGGGGAGAAGCAGAAACATGCTCTAATTTTAAAAGTAAATATGCTTCTTAATGTAACTCTCCGGTGGGAAAATATTGTTGTAGAATGTTGATCGATCAAACGAGATTCATACATACCTAGGGTATCTAAAGAATCTATAAAATCTTGTAGAAATCAATAAGGAGAAGGCAGACTGCCCAGTGGAAAACAGGATAGTCAAATGGGCCGTAAGCATTTGGAAAGACGTGCAACACCGGCAGTTGCCAAGGAAATTTATATTAAAACTAGCAGTGCTCTACAATCACACTGCCACCAACTTGACTAAAAATTGTTTAAAGTAATCTTAAGAACATCGAGTGTTGATATGGATGGGAAGCCACTGGAAAGCTCATATACTTCTAGTGGGCCTGGGAATTGGTACACTTGGAGAAATGTGTGCTTCACTCCCTACTAAGGATAAGCATGGGAGTCAGCGGATCCACTCCTCAGCACAGACCCAACTGAAACACAAACACACATTCACCAACTGATATCAACAGATGTTCACAAGAGCACTCATTGTAATAGCTGGACTGCTAACGCAAGGTCAGCAGTTCGAAATCACCAGGTGCTCCTCAAGAGAAAGGGAGACTCTGTACTCCCATAAGGAGTCACCGTCTCAGAAATCCACAGGGGAAGTTCTGCCCAGCCCTGTAGGACAGCCAGGAGTCAGAATGACTGGCTGGCACTGAGTTTGTTTTGATCCAAACACCCACAGCAAGATGGATGAATAAATTATTCATCATTGGATGAATAAATTATGGATCATTCATTCAATGGAAGAATAAAAATTCAACACGACATGTAAGAATCTTACAACCATAAAGCTGAGTGAGGTTGCCCAGACACAAAGGAGTACATGCCCACCGAAAAGAAAAGGCTAGCGGGGGTGGGGGTGGGGAGGAGCTAAGCTTTTCCATGAACTTTTGAAGCCTGTGGTAGTTACATAATCTGGTGTCAAATTGAGGATTAATAGTGTAAGGGTGGAGTATAGCCTGTCAATCAGGATATAGGCAATGAGGCCTCTGTGTGGGCAAGGCCTTCTCCTGAGGATCCTGGGAACTCCTGCATTTCCTCCTTGGAGGTGGGAGACTCTCTCTCGCTCTCTCCTCACTCCCTTGGAGACTCTGCTGACTATGTTCACACCCTGTGAGACATTTCGAGACATTTCTGAGGAGAAGCCACATGAAGCTACCCTGAGGCAGTCAGAATTTCAGAGCTGAAGGAATCACCTGGAGACCCCTGCCAGTGCTGTGATGCTTAAACCACTGGATCCACAAGACTTTCAACCCATGGCCTGTGATCTTCCTGCATTCAGCATCATTGCATGTGTTTCCTCCTGAGGAGGACTTTAGAGATTGGTATTGAATGTAAGGGCTAATATCAGACTCATGGACTTGATCTGGACTGGGATGTTTTCTCAATATTCAATTGCTCTTGTATATAAACCTCTTTTTTTTTTTAAATCATTTTATTAGGGGCTCATACAACTCTTATCACAATCCATACATACATCAGTTGTATAAAGCGCATTTGTACATTCATTGCCCTCATCATTCTCAAAACATTTCCTCTCCACTTAAGCCCCCCGGCATTAGGTCCTCATTTCCCCCACCCCTCCCTCATGAGCCCTTGATAATTTATAAATTGTTATTTTTCATATCTTGCCCTGTCCGACGTCTCCCTTCACCCACTTTTCAGTTGTCCGTCCCCCAGGGAGGAGGTCACATATAGTTCCTTGTAATTGGTCCCCTCTTTCCTACCCACTCTCCCTCTACCCTCCCTGTATCGCCACTCACACCACTGGTCCTGTAAGGATCATCTGCCCTGGATTCCTTGTATTTCCAGTTCCTATCTGTACCAGCGTACATTCTCTGGTCTAGCCAGACTTGCAAGGTAGAATTCGTGTCATGATAGTGGGAGCGGGGAGGAAACATTTAGGAACTAGAGGAAAGTTGTATTTTTCATCTTTGCTACATCGCACCCTAACTGGCTCATCTCCTCCCTGAGACCCCTCTGCAAGGGGATCTCCACTGGCCTACTAATGGGCCTTGGATCTCAACTCCACACTCCCATCATTCACTATGGTAAGATTTTTTGTTCTGATGATGCTTTATACCTGATCCCTTCGACACCTCGTGATTGCATAGGCTGGTGTGCTTCTTCCATGTGGGCTTTGTTGCTTCTGAGCTTGATGGCCACTTGATTACCTTCAAGCCTTTAAGACCCCAGATGCTATACTTTTTGATAGCCGGGCACCATCAGCTTTCTTCACCACATTTGCTTATGCACCCATTTGTCTTCAGTGATCCGTTCGACACCTCATGATCACACAGGCTGATATGTTCTTCCATGTGGGCTTTTTTGCTTCTGAGCTAGATGGTCGCTTGATAAACCTCTTTCTTATACACATAGCCGTGTTTATAAATTTGTTTCACTAGTCTACCCGGACTAACACAAAGCCCCCTTGTACTATACGGTGCCATTGATTGTTGTGTTAGTCTGGGTTGACAAGAGAAACAAATTCATAGACATTCATGGTTATAAAAAAGAGCTTTATATAAAAAAGCAATTGTATATTGAGAAAATAGCCCAGTCCAGATCAAGTCCATAAGTCCAATATTAGCCCATATATCTGATACAAGCCTATAAATTCCTCTTCAGACTCACGCAGCCATGCAATAATGTCGAACGCAGGAGGATCACAGGCCAGTGGGTGGAACATCTGGTGGATCCAGTGATGGTGGAAGCATCTCCACCCTGGCATAGGTCTCCACGTGGTGCTTCCAGGGCTCTAGCTTCATCAGCATAGCTCCATGTGTCTTGTCAACAGGAATGTGTAGCAGAGAGAGTCTGTCAGTATCTGGCCTCCCGTGAGCTATTTATCTCTGTTGTGCCTCCAAATGAGGTCATCAAGCTGCGACCTGATTGACAGGTAGACTCCACCCCTTCCTCAAGTTGACAGTAGATTATGTAACTGCCACAATTGTTGTTGCTACTAGGTGCCATCCAATTGGCTATGGTTCCAACCCATAGCGACCCCATGCACAACCGAATGAAGCATTGCCTGGTCCCACGCCATCCTCACAACTGTTCTTATGTTTGATCCCTGGGCTGCAACCACTGTGTCCATCCAGCTTGTCTAGGGCAGCAGTTCTCAACCCTCCAAATGCCGTGACCCTTTAATACAGTTCCTCATCTTGTGGTGACCCCCCCCCAGACATAAAACTATTTCCGTTGCTACTTCATCA